AAACTGGCAAAAATGAAATTGGGTATTGTTTTCCTCTGAATTAGTGACTCACAGAATCAAGTTACTTTTGCTTCCAGGGCCATGTTTTCAACACTTGTCCCTCATGTGTAATCACAGTGGAATTTTATAATTCACCTCTTGTGTTTAGATTTCTCATCGCTTTGAAACAGTCCCTGAATATGAATTGATTCACTCTTGAGCTGGATTTTTCTTTCTACTCAGGAATTCCATACCACCTTACTGTTCTTCTCTTTGTCTTCTCTTTGTCTTCTTATTTTCTAACTTTTTGCAGTTCTATGTACTGTCAGGCTAATGCCTTTTGACTGTTATTAATACTACAGTGAAACTTAGACTAATAGCCAAAAAATGTATTTCAGCTGAGATCTGTATCTGTGGACCTGAATGTTGATCCCTCGCTTCAGATTGACATACCTGATGCCCTCAGTGAGAGAGATAAGGTCAAATTTACAGTGCACACCAAGGTAAGTGACAGAATGCTTCAGTAATCAGTGCTAGGCTCTGTGATTCACAGTGGTGAAGAGAAAAAATGTTTTTTTTTTTTCTTCAGTGTAGCACTACTGCTGAGTGAGTACTTCCCTCATCTTGCTTGTAGTGAGCATCAGATAAATGCTCTCGGTTCAGCATTTTCCACTGTGTTGGAGCCCTCGGGCTGTGGGTATTGCTGATGTTGTATATACTCTGCTCCATGAGGAAGCAAACCAGGCGAAGTGATACAGGTGGAGCTTCCTACTAAACAGATCAAATCTTCCACCTTTGTTTTTTAATTTGAATGCATGAGAAGTGCTTGCTTTTTCCCATATTTGCTAAATTATTGGCCTTTGCCCCTCCTGTTTTTTGTGATTCAGAACGCTTTCCAGATTTTTAATTTAATGACAGTAATATGCTAATCTGAAAAACATGAAAAGTGTAATTTTGTAGACTCCATCCTTTCGGGAACATCTTTAGCCTTGTTTCTTCTTCCATACTAGTTAAAATACATTGAATGCTTGTCTTGTGCCAGGCATTGCTGAAAAGGGTTTATTTACATGGATTTAATTTTCTTTTTACAACAACCTTATGATGGTATCATTATCCCTGTTTTACAGATGAAGAAACAGCCACATTTTAAAGAAAGTAAATAGTTGAGGCACAATTTGAATTAGGCAGTTTGATGCTAGAGCTTTTGGGTTACATACCACCTCCATCCAGCATACAGGCCTGCTGTCTGTCTGTAGGATCCTCTCCCATGCGGTTTTCTCTTAATGCCTTGATGGCTTGATTAGCTTACCTCACTTAGGAGGCAGTGTGACAACTATGTGATTATATCCACCTGAGTTGACCTGAGGTGGAGTTTTGTGGAAAGAATTCCTTATAGAACATGTTTAATCTTAGCTATGATTTTAGTGGGAAGATCATGTTCTGCTGCTTTTGTTCTTTACTGGGTCTTAACTGAGATGTTTTGATATGCAGAGTTTTCCCATAGTGCAGCCCAGGAAATCCAAACCAGTTTATCAAAAAGTGGTAGTTACCCGTTAACTTCTTACTCTGCTCTTTACAGACAACGCTGCCCACGTTTCAGAGCCCAGAGTTTTCTGTTACAAGGCAACATGAAGACTTTGTGTGTCTACATGACACTCTTATTGAAACTGCAGACTATGCTGGGCTTATCGTAAGTGCATTTTGGAAAATCAGACAGTTAAGCCAGTTTCTTCTACCTTATTGTTCATTTTGTTTAAAGAGACTTTTACCCATTTTACTAATGGGTTGTGAAAACTGATTTCATCTACCAACTAGAGCAGGTGCTATTGGTAAAGGCTAAAAACATGAGACTGGTGTTATAGCTGTGAGGTGAAGGATACAGTCATATGACCTGTATAAGTGAAGAGGCTAAACAGTTTCATGATTTGAATCTTCCTTGTCTTGGGTTTGGTGTTTTTCTTGTACTTTATTTCAGGCATCAAGTAGTAGAATTGATTTCTAGGAAAACCTCGGTAGTGGTGATGGTGTACATTCAATAGATTTCTCAAAGTGTTGTAGTCTGCTCAAGGAGTAAGGGAGACAGTTGCCTTTGTGTTAACAAAAGTAGTATTGAAGCCTGTGTTTCCCTAATATCTAGAGACTAATTTTGATGGTGCTTCATCAACTTCATTTTAGTGTTGATTATAGCATTTAAACGACATTGAAGCAGGCTAATACTATCCCCTACCGGCCATCCATAATAGGTAACCTGACAAATGCTTGCAGTCTGAGTGCCCAGGTTTGGGGAGGAGACTTCTTTTTTATGTGGCCAAAAGGAATCAAGTTAAGAGAAAAATAGAAGTTGACCTGTTAGTCCCACTGGGCTGGCTGCCTCCTTGTGCACAGGCATTGAGTAGAACATCACCACTGGGACAAGAATACTCTCGAGTTAACCTGCTTCCCCTACAGATTCCACCTGCTCCGACAAAGCCTGACTTCGATGGCCCTCGAGAAAAGATGCAGAAACTCGGAGAGGGTGAAGGGTCTATGACCAAAGAAGAATTTGCTAAGATGAAGCAAGAGCTGGAAGCGTAAGTGGATTTTCTTGACAGGGCTATATCTTTTGAGAACAAAAGTGGTGATGTGTACAGAAATCCGGACAACCTGGCAGTTCTTCCAAAAGATGGCAGTTAATTAGTGGCCCAGTGCTGTCTTGTAGAACTACATTTCCAGTTTGTATGTAGACATACATACAATTCTCTGGGGACCTCTGACACTGAATAGACCAAATTGTTTCCCTCCATGTAGACCATACTTGATACAGAAATGCTGGTCTAGCACAGTGAAGAAGTAAACCTTTGTCTTTTATAAAGAACTCTTAGGCTGCCTATAATGTACAAAGCCTTATTCCCTGAAGTTTGGTTACTGGAGGTATAACTGAAACTAGATTGCAGAGATGCTCTTTCAAGACAGTACTCTGAATAATAATCATGATGGTTTAAAGAAGTCCAGGTTCACAGGAATTAAAATTCACATATTTTAATTTGGTTATAACTTAATAGTTTCAAACAAAAATGGATTCTTTATCCTCTGTCACATTTGGGTTTGCATTAAAGTTTCTTATGAAATTATTGAACTTCTCTCTTGGCTCCCCTCCCTCTTCTGCCATTGATGTGGTGCCCATTTCCACAGCTCTCTTCTGTGCCCTGCCCCATGCACGTCCCTATTCTCTATGGCCAGTGCTCACACACCTCCAAGTACTACGTCATTGCCGCACATGACTTGAGTGTCTATTATGGACTCTTCTGAGCATAAAGCAGTGAACACAGCCGACTGAAGTCCTACTCTTAAGTTTAGAGTGATCTTTAATACCTAGATAAAGTCACTTTATAATGTCTAATAAATCTGAGGCTTATTAGATAGACTTCAGTGCTATGTACATGGCTACAAGATTGAAAGGGTTTTCATTATTTTACAGAAACCAATGTTGTGTGGCTGCTGAATACCAGCAGTAATTGCATGTAGGTTTGGACTTTTTGTAGACTTGCTCAACTCCGGTTGTACTTTTGCCCTCTTTGGTTCATTCCACAGATTCCCAGTTGGCAAATGCCTTATTACCTAATTAGGTACAAGATTATACCAAAATGTTTTGGTCCAGTTCAGGTGTTTTGTTTAGTGGTATGAACAGAACGGTGATAACTGGAACCAGTATTGATCATTTAGTTGAGTGGTGCCAGTTGAATTCCTTGTGTGCTTCTCTTCCAGTGAGTATCTTGCAGTCTTTAAGAAGACTGTGTCCTCTCATGAAGTCTTTCTACAGCGGCTCTCCTCTCACCCTGTTCTCAGTAAAGATCGCAACTTCCACGTGTTCCTGGAATATGATCAGGATGTAAGGCATTTTTGTTCCATTTCCATGATCCAGTGAAAATGCACATGACCATATTTTTAAAAATAGGCTTGAGAGGAGCCTAGCTGGCCCAGCTGGTAGAATATGCAACTCTTGATCTCAGGTCATGAGTTTGAGCCCTATGTTGGGTGTAGAGATTGCTTTTAAAAAGAATAAAAATAGGGGCGCCTGGGTGGCTCAGTCGGTTAAGCTTCCGACTTCGGCTTAGGTCATGATCTCACAGTTCGTGGGTTCGAGCCCTGCATCGGGCTCTGTGCTGACAGCCAGCTTAGCCTGGAGCTGCTTCGGATTCTGTGTCTCCCTCTCTCTCTGACCCTCCCCTGCTCATGCTGCGCACGCCCTCTCTCTCTCTCTCTCCCTCTCTCCCTCCCTGCCTCTCCCTCTCCCTCCCTCCTTCTCTCTCTCCCTCTCTCTCTCTCAGAAATAAACATTAAAAAAAATTTTTTAATAAAAAGAATAAAAATTTAAAAAAATGCTTGATATATTTTCTGAAAAATTGACTTTTAAAGTACTGAATTTTTTTTTTTTTTTTTTTTTTTTTTTTNTTTTTTTTTTTTCTTCAGTGTAGCACTACTGCTGAGTGAGTACTTCCCTCATCTTGCTTGTAGTGAGCATCAGATAAATGCTCTCGGTTCAGCATTTTCCACTGTGTTGGAGCCCTCGGGCTGTGGGTATTGCTGATGTTGTATATACTCTGCTCCATGAGGAAGCAAACCAGGCGAAGTGATACAGGTGGAGCTTCCTACTAAACAGATCAAATCTTCCACCTTTGTTTTTTAATTTGAATGCATGAGAAGTGCTTGCTTTTTCCCATATTTGCTAAATTATTGGCCTTTGCCCCTCCTGTTTTTTGTGATTCAGAACGCTTTCCAGATTTTTAATTTAATGACAGTAATATGCTAATCTGAAAAACATGAAAAGTGTAATTTTGTAGACTCCATCCTTTCGGGAACATCTTTAGCCTTGTTTCTTCTTCCATACTAGTTAAAATACATTGAATGCTTGTCTTGTGCCAGGCATTGCTGAAAAGGGTTTATTTACATGGATTTAATTTTCTTTTTACAACAACCTTATGATGGTATCATTATCCCTGTTTTACAGATGAAGAAACAGCCACATTTTAAAGAAAGTAAATAGTTGAGGCACAATTTGAATTAGGCAGTTTGATGCTAGAGCTTTTGGGTTACATACCACCTCCATCCAGCATACAGGCCTGCTGTCTGTCTGTAGGATCCTCTCCCATGCGGTTTTCTCTTAATGCCTTGATGGCTTGATTAGCTTACCTCACTTAGGAGGCAGTGTGACAACTATGTGATTATATCCACCTGAGTTGACCTGAGGTGGAGTTTTGTGGAAAGAATTCCTTATAGAACATGTTTAATCTTAGCTATGATTTTAGTGGGAAGATCATGTTCTGCTGCTTTTGTTCTTTACTGGGTCTTAACTGAGATGTTTTGATATGCAGAGTTTTCCCATAGTGCAGCCCAGGAAATCCAAACCAGTTTATCAAAAAGTGGTAGTTACCCGTTAACTTCTTACTCTGCTCTTTACAGACAACGCTGCCCACGTTTCAGAGCCCAGAGTTTTCTGTTACAAGGCAACATGAAGACTTTGTGTGTCTACATGACACTCTTATTGAAACTGCAGACTATGCTGGGCTTATCGTAAGTGCATTTTGGAAAATCAGACAGTTAAGCCAGTTTCTTCTACCTTATTGTTCATTTTGTTTAAAGAGACTTTTACCCATTTTACTAATGGGTTGTGAAAACTGATTTCATCTACCAACTAGAGCAGGTGCTATTGGTAAAGGCTAAAAACATGAGACTGGTGTTATAGCTGTGAGGTGAAGGATACAGTCATATGACCTGTATAAGTGAAGAGGCTAAACAGTTTCATGATTTGAATCTTCCTTGTCTTGGGTTTGGTGTTTTTCTTGTACTTTATTTCAGGCATCAAGTAGTAGAATTGATTTCTAGGAAAACCTCGGTAGTGGTGATGGTGTACATTCAATAGATTTCTCAAAGTGTTGTAGTCTGCTCAAGGAGTAAGGGAGACAGTTGCCTTTGTGTTAACAAAAGTAGTATTGAAGCCTGTGTTTCCCTAATATCTAGAGACTAATTTTGATGGTGCTTCATCAACTTCATTTTAGTGTTGATTATAGCATTTAAACGACATTGAAGCAGGCTAATACTATCCCCTACCGGCCATCCATAATAGGTAACCTGACAAATGCTTGCAGTCTGAGTGCCCAGGTTTGGGGAGGAGACTTCTTTTTTATGTGGCCAAAAGGAATCAAGTTAAGAGAAAAATAGAAGTTGACCTGTTAGTCCCACTGGGCTGGCTGCCTCCTTGTGCACAGGCATTGAGTAGAACATCACCACTGGGACAAGAATACTCTCGAGTTAACCTGCTTCCCCTACAGATTCCACCTGCTCCGACAAAGCCTGACTTCGATGGCCCTCGAGAAAAGATGCAGAAACTCGGAGAGGGTGAAGGGTCTATGACCAAAGAAGAATTTGCTAAGATGAAGCAAGAGCTGGAAGCGTAAGTGGATTTTCTTGACAGGGCTATATCTTTTGAGAACAAAAGTGGTGATGTGTACAGAAATCCGGACAACCTGGCAGTTCTTCCAAAAGATGGCAGTTAATTAGTGGCCCAGTGCTGTCTTGTAGAACTACATTTCCAGTTTGTATGTAGACATACATACAATTCTCTGGGGACCTCTGACACTGAATAGACCAAATTGTTTCCCTCCATGTAGACCATACTTGATACAGAAATGCTGGTCTAGCACAGTGAAGAAGTAAACCTTTGTCTTTTATAAAGAACTCTTAGGCTGCCTATAATGTACAAAGCCTTATTCCCTGAAGTTTGGTTACTGGAGGTATAACTGAAACTAGATTGCAGAGATGCTCTTTCAAGACAGTACTCTGAATAATAATCATGATGGTTTAAAGAAGTCCAGGTTCACAGGAATTAAAATTCACATATTTTAATTTGGTTATAACTTAATAGTTTCAAACAAAAATGGATTCTTTATCCTCTGTCACATTTGGGTTTGCATTAAAGTTTCTTATGAAATTATTGAACTTCTCTCTTGGCTCCCCTCCCTCTTCTGCCATTGATGTGGTGCCCATTTCCACAGCTCTCTTCTGTGCCCTGCCCCATGCACGTCCCTATTCTCTATGGCCAGTGCTCACACACCTCCAAGTACTACGTCATTGCCGCACATGACTTGAGTGTCTATTATGGACTCTTCTGAGCATAAAGCAGTGAACACAGCCTACTGAAGTCCTACTCTTAAGTTTAGAGTGATCTTTAATACCTAGATAAAGTCACTTTATAATGTCTAATAAATCTGAGGCTTATTAGATAGACTTCAGTGCTATGTACATGGCTACAAGATTGAAAGGGTTTTCATTATTTTACAGAAACCAATGTTGTGTGGCTGCTGAATACCAGCAGTAATTGCATGTAGGTTTGGACTTTTTGTAGACTTGCTCAACTCCGGTTGTACTTTTGCCCTCTTTGGTTCATTCCACAGATTCCCAGTTGGCAAATGCCTTATTACCTAATTAGGTACAAGATTATACCAAAATGTTTTGGTCCAGTTCAGGTGTTTTGTTTAGTGGTATGAACAGAACGGTGATAACTGGAACCAGTATTGATCATTTAGTTGAGTGGTGCCAGTTGAATTCCTTGTGTGCTTCTCTTCCAGTGAGTATCTTGCAGTCTTTAAGAAGACTGTGTCCTCTCATGAAGTCTTTCTACAGCGGCTCTCCTCTCACCCTGTTCTCAGTAAAGATCGCAACTTCCACGTGTTCCTGGAATATGATCAGGATGTAAGGCATTTTTGTTCCATTTCCATGATCCAGTGAAAATGCACATGACCATATTTTTAAAAATAGGCTTGAGAGGAGCCTAGCTGGCCCAGCTGGTAGAATATGCAACTCTTGATCTCAGGTCATGAGTTTGAGCCCTATGTTGGGTGTAGAGATTGCTTTTAAAAAGAATAAAAATAGGGGCGCCTGGGTGGCTCAGTCGGTTAAGCTTCCGACTTCGGCTTAGGTCATGATCTCACAGTTCGTGGGTTCGAGCCCTGCATCGGGCTCTGTGCTGACAGCCAGCTTAGCCTGGAGCTGCTTCGGATTCTGTGTCTCCCTCTCTCTCTGACCCTCCCCTGCTCATGCTGCGCACGCCCTCTCTCTCTCTCTCTCCCTCTCTCCCTCCCTGCCTCTCCCTCTCCCTCCCTCCTTCTCTCTCTCCCTCTCTCTCTCTCAGAAATAAACATTAAAAAAATTTTTTTAATAAAAAGAATAAAAATTTAAAAAAATGCTTGATATATTTTCTGAAAAATTGACTTTTAAAGTACTGAATTTTTTAATGGCATAATGGAATCCTTTTTTAGATGCTGTTTCCCTCTGCCCCATAGATCCATTGTGTAAGGCACTTTTATAAAATGATACTTAAAGATTTTTACTTTTTTCCCCCCAGTTAATTTTGGGATTATTAAGAGCAATTTTGATTCACATTTTTTTTTCTCCTTGGCTACCTATTTGTTGGAAGGAGTTGGATGCTTTGCCCTTTTTTTCAGTGTTATATTTTTTATTAATATGTGTGAGACAAGCCCTGACTTTAAAAATTTCCTCAGCATCTTTAAGTTTATTTTGAGAGAGAGAGAGCGCGCGCGCACCAGTTGGGGAGGGGCAGGAAGGAGAGAGAATCCCCAGTAGGCTCTTTGCTTTCACCGCAGACTTGACAACACAGGGCTCCGTCTCATGAACCATGAGATCATGACCTGAGCAGATAACCAAGAATCAGATGCCTGACTGAACCTCCTAGGCATCCCTCCTAGCATCTTCTAATCAGTGAGTTTCAATAATTCAAGGATTTAAAGGCCACTAAGATGTGTCTGGCTAGCTCAGTTGGGAGAGCATACAACTCTTGAATTTTGGGGCATGAGTTCAAGCCCCACATTGGGTGCAGAGCCTATTTTTAAAAAATAAAGGCCAAGACTTAGTGCTAAGTAGTTTCCCCCAAAAAACTTTAGGTCATGTTTTTAAAATTAAGACTTGTATTTAGGTTTGGCTATTGTATTTGATATTTTAGATCTAGTGGTAAGATGGAAGTATCTTATGTATGTGCCTGTGTTGGTAAACAGTATCATTTAGAATGTATTTAGGGCTTTTTAAAGATTATTTAGAAAAATATGTGTACCATAAACTTCTTAAGGATTTTTTTTTCCCCCCAGCTAAGCGTTAGGCGGAAAAATACCAAAGAGATGTTTGGTGGCTTTTTCAAAAGTGTAGTGAAAAGTGCTGATGAAGTCCTTTTTTCTGGAGTTAAAGTAAGTGGCTTTTAGCTGTGAAATTCCTGACTTGTGAATAGGTGACCTTTTATTTCTTCAGAAGAGCTATTTGTGAAACAAATGGTATTAACTTTATAGAAATGTAAATGATTTTTTCAAATTTTGGTTATTTTTTATCTACTCTTTTTTTTTTTTTTTTTTTTAATAATGTGGCTACTAGAAACTTTAAATAGCACATGTGGTTCCCGTACTTCTGTTGGACAGAGCTGTTCTAAAAGACCAATTGACATACAAGTCTCCCATTACCCTGGTGATATTTATCTCTCATTCCTCAACCCCATTCCACTTTTTAACTGAGTTACCACTTTGTGTCTGACTTTGCAACTTTTGTTGAGAGCTTGAGTGGGGAGCCCAGAGCACAGGTGTTGGGTGGAGGGCATTGTCAAAAATTTGGAACTCTGGGACTTTCTCCTTGCTGTGTTTTAAGGTGTGTCAGACTGTCCTGTACCCACACATTGCTGGATGTTTGGCATCCCTGGCTGGGATGCACCAGATTTACCCCCCATACACACAGATGTGGGTATCCATGGCTAGGTCACTGGCTGCCAGGCAGAATCACTTCTCTACCAGGATTGCTGGATCTTAGTACCAGTTTTCCTGGGCATTGTTGAATGACTCTTCAAAATGTTTTTTCTGTATTGACATTTCTTGCCATCACGTGAGTTTTGCTAATCTTGGATATGAAATGCTATTTTGTAAGTTTGGGCTTCCCTTGTCCTTAGAGGTTAAAGTTCTTATGCATAAGCTTATGTCTTTAATGTTTCTTTTGATACAAAATACATTAATATAAAGAGTTAAGAGTTTTGCTTCTTTATTTTCTTCCTCTTTTAGGAGGTAGATGACTTCTTTGAGCAGGAGAAGAATTTCCTCATTAACTATTACAATAGGATCAAGGATTCATGTGCAAAAGCTGACAAAATGACCCGATCTCATAAAAGTAAATACCATTCATCCACTGGCCTCTTAGCTTTGCTTAATATGCCAGCTTTGTTTATATAAAAAGAACTGTCCTTATTTCTGCAGATGTTGCAGATGACTATATCCACACTGCAGCCTGCCTACATAGCCTGGCTTTAGAAGAGCCCACAGTCATCAAAAAGTAAGTTTTTCTTGGAAAAGTATTTTCCCTTTCAGTTCAAAAACTCCTGCGTGGTATAATGAATAATAACTACATAGTTTCACTTCTGCTTTTGAGTGCCCAGCTCTTCAAGACTAGATGATGGCCTCCAGCACTCAATTCTTACCCACTCTCTGAACGTACACAGATTTAAGGTGTTTGCTGGGGACTCAGGGCACTTCTATACCAAACATGGTAGCTGTTGTCAAAACCTTTATTTTTATCATACTGCCTCCATTTTTTAATTGATTTGCTTTCATTTTGGAGTTGTCTCTGAATGAAGTTTGCTTTGTATGTTCTCTGGCAAATAAGTACTTTTCAGTTTCTCCATCCTGAGTATTTCTGGTGTGAAATCATATTCTACTTAACATCTAGGGCTTTATATAACAGGTATAACATTTCTGATTTGAAGGTGAAAGTCAGACTAATAGCAGAACCTAGATGAAATAGTAGCTTTTGTTTAGTTTTAAACAGTAGCATATTTATGGCTTTGGGACACCCATAGTGGTGGTTCATTAGAATCTGCTCTTGGTTAAAACAGCTTTGGTATTAGTTAAAGACTATCTTGAGACATGGTTGCTGCATGGCAAGATACTTGAAGGGGCAGCAAGAGAGGCCGATGTCCATGAGTGTGGCACTGTCAGTGTGTGTTCAGTTCTGTAACCATCCTTTCTACTAGGTTAGGCCAATTGGTAATGAAAGTGCTACTTTGATACACTGATTCTAAAGCACTAAAGGCTAGGACTTTTTTGCATTTACTCATTCGAAAATGTTTTAAGAGTATTGATAAGGTGCTGTTTCATACATGATTTTAAGACCTTCAGCCAAAATCATGTGTATATTTTCAGGTACCTACTGAAGGTTGCTGAACTATTTGAAAAACTTAGGGTAAGGATTTTTATATTGGTCTTCCTAATACTTTATAATCTGCAGATTTCTGCTTAGATGATGGTGACTTTTACTTTTTTAATAGAAAGTAGAGAGTCGAGTCTCCTCAGATGAAGATTTAAAGCTGACAGAGCTTCTCCGATACTACATGCTCAACATAGAGGCTGCTAAGGTAAGTGAGATTAGCCTAAATAGTTAACTGAGAGACATCTGAATTACCATTAATTGAGTTTATTCGGGAATAGTAGGGGAATTGCAGTTTGGGGAAACACATGCTATATATAGCAAGGTATAGGCAAGTCTGTTCCGTGTTTGGGCTGGGCTTGTATTCAGGAGTGTTAAGAAGGGATGTCCAACCAGAGTCCAAGCAGTAAATCCTTTGGCTTGTATCACTTAAGAGCAGCAAGGGTGACACTGAGTTGACAGATAGTAATTTGAGGGGTTGTAGGTAGGATATTGGATATGGGTATAACTGAACACATGTCAAAACGGATATTACTGAAGGAGAAAAGGTTTTGAGGTTTGTGAGTTTTTATTGAATTGCAGTTATGGAGTCATAAACTATTACTTACCAGAAGGCAAGACTAAGCGGTAAGCCGAATAACCTTTGGAAATGAAACATGGCATTGACTGGGCATAACCCTAAACAAAAAAATATTACTTTTATGCTAAATCAGGCAACATAAAATTAGGGAAAATATCATTAGGAAGTAGAAATTCACTATTTACCTTATAGATTCATTTTATTTTATTAGTTCATTTGTCTTTTGGCAGGTTTCCCAAGTCTTCTATTTGGATTTTTTTTTTTTTTCTTACATACTTTTGACTATAATGGATTTAAGAGCTGGTGGTCAACACTTTTTGAGTGAACACAAAAACACATAATGGTTATGTGTCACATAGATAATGTTGACCTCACATATCAGATTTTAAATACAGAGGTAACTTGCACTTTGCTGTAAGTTGCAAATAGTCTTTCACATGAGAGCCTGGGGTTGGACCCCTGAGAGCAGGAGTTGTGGGGCAGGTTAGAAGAGCGTTCTTGCCACCTCACTGCCTAGTTGTGTTGTAGCAGCATCACTGGGTGTGCTCAGTAGTGCCTACCTGTGTTTCAGTAGAAGGTGGTTAATCTTATAAACTTGCTTTCGATGACTGAATCGACTAAACAAAATAATTTTCATGGTTGGTTTTTTTTTTTCTTGATCCATATAAAGAATTCCAAAGCCTCAACAGTGCCATAAGAATTGCTGTTCCCAGCCTAATCTTGAGATTAAAGAAAACAAAAAAACGGGAAAGTAAGATAGAAGTGGATTGGATTGTTGCCATGTGACATTTCAGGTGGTGCACTGGCACCACAGTACTTGGGCTGGTTGTTAGACTGGTTCAGATACTTAGTCTCCCTGTTGTGTTCTCTGGCGATTTTTCAGGATAAGTTTAACTACTACCATGTCTTTTCTGTTAATTTTCTTCTCAGGATCTCTTATACAGACGCACCAAAGCTCTCACCGACTATGAGAACTCCAACAAAGCATTGGATAAGGCCCGGTTGAAAAGCAAAGATGTCAAGTTGGCTGAGGCACACCAGCAAGAATGCTGCCAGAAATTTGAACAGCTTTCTGAGTCTGCAAAAGAAGGTTGAGATGGGCTGTTCTTTACTTTTTGCTTTTCATTTGGAAACAATTTCAAGCTCACAGAGAAAAGTTGTACAGAAAGTAAAAAGGACACCCATATATTCTTTACTTGGAGTCAGCTAGTTCTCTAGTTTGCCCCTTCAGCTTGGTCACTTGCACATGTAGCCATGCTGCCACATGTGTGTTTATAAATGCACATGGGGTGGGTCTTAGCCATTTGAGATTAAGTTCTATGTATTATGGTCCTTTTATCCTTAAGAAATTTTGTTGTGTATTTGTCTTAACATCCCTATAGTACACTTACTGACTTTGGTAAACTTTAACACAACACACCCCAACCTGCTGTCTGTATTCTCATTTTGTTGTTGGCATTTGCCTTTTTGAAGACCATAGACTCTACAGTGATCCTTTTTTTCAGATGGTCTATTTCTGCAATGAATAGATTCTGGTTATGCATTTCCAACGGAATATTCTCTGAGTAATGTGTCTTTCGGGTGTCGCTTCTGAGGGCATGTTATGTTCATTTCCTCTCATTTGTGGTGTTAATTTCTCTGCCATATAGTTAATAGTTTGTTTTCCCATGCTACTAATCAGTAGTGTGTGAGGAGACCATTTAAAGCCCTGCCAATAGTTTCTCCCTACATTAAGTCTGTGTTGAGTCTTGCCTGAGCCTGCTCTTACTGTGCTGGCTGCAGAAAGGTGATTTCCTGCCCCTCAGTTCTAGTGTCCTCTTCCCAAGCCTTTGGCATCATCATCATCCTTTAAGAGTAAGCCTTCCCTTCTTTCCCACATTTTCTTCCTTGTTTTATTAGAGTCATGGGTTTCTGTTTTTGGAAATCGTTTTTAAATTCATTATTTTGGTTCTCAGTTTGTCCAGACTTAGGGAGAAGCATCTTTAAGTTGGCATGTCCTAATGACCTATCCCTCAGTCTTTTGAGTTTAGATGTTATGTGTTAATCTTACATCTTCTTCAGCCCTGAAAACCACCATTTCTTCTAGAAGCCTAGGTTCTGTTGACTTACAGAATTGGGGCAAGATTAGGGTGTTGAGTGTGCTCATTTCTCCTGGGGTGCCTCTCTGGGCCCTTCAAGAGACAGAATCAGGAAATGGAGGGGTGTGTAACTCTCTCCGGGAGTCATGGTGGTGACACAGTTCGAGTCCACAGTTGCAGGGTTCTTTTTTGCCTTGCCCCATTCCAGAGTAGGGGGGATTATGGCTTAACTTTATTGGGTGAGAATGCTCCATTTCCACAAAACAGGAGTGTAGTCTTTTCCTCATGGGAGGGGAGGTGTGTCTCACTCACCTGCAGTTCTCGGGCCATGGAACATGCCAGAGCAAAAGTAAAGAATATGTCTTCCTGAGTGTGAATGTAATGATAGTGGTAACTGCACTTGATTGACTCCCAGAACTCCTCCCACCCACCTTTGGTTCCAAAATCTAGGCATATCTGAAAACATTCTGATATTAGCAATAAGCAAGAGTTTCTGTTCTTTGTTTTCTGTTGGCTTATGTTTACAGCACTATAATACTGTATAGAAATCTTGTAAAGGCCAGAACTTCTCTGTACAGAAATCTTGCAAAGGCCACACGGATAATGCTCATTGTGGTGGTCTTTTGGATTCTTTTGAAGGAACCTTTTTCTTGCTGCCATAGTAAAATAAATTCTTGTCCTTTAAGTAGCTAATTTTAAGTTAATGAGAGCAAAGTATGGAGTTGAAATCTTAGATTACTACATAGGTCAAAGTTTGGTGGCTCTGACAACTTTAGAGGGGATTACGGAAAACTACAAAGCTTTGAAGTGGTGCCGGTTTAGGCCTGTCCTGATTGCCTAAGGTTTGTCCGTTTGGTATTAGATTTTTATCCTGTTTATTCAAAGTGTACGCCTTGGTGTACTGTATTTAAAAGTACAGTGTTCTGTAGAATACTGCTATGCTTCTGATCCGAGTTCTTTCTAAATTCGTAGCTGAACTGATGAGTTAGTTGAACGAGCACAGTACAAGTGATAGTGAGAGCAGGCATCATGGGTGATCCGACAGGTTAGTATTCAGTCCTCATCCCTGGGTGCAGGCCTACAGGAGAGAGGTGAGTTTATCTTGACATCCAGGAAGACCTGTTTAGTGTATCCAGTGTATTGTTATTAACTCATCATTGTAAGTGTTCTTGCAACTTTTTACTTTTCATGTGGCTGCTTGCATATTTCTTTTGGTTAGTGCTGCACAGACCTGATACAGGAGAGTCAGTTTGCTCCTGAGGACTAGAGCACTAGCTTGATCTGAGAGATTTGAGCAAAGGAGTGATGGTGAGAACCACAGGCTCATGGAAAGAATCTGATGGAGGATGTACTTATTTTTGGCTTGCCCTGATTTAATTTTTGTATAGTTTTTTTATTTTTGAGACAGGGAGAGACAGAACATGAGCGGGGGAGGGGCAGAGAGAGAGGAAGACACAGAATCTGAAACAGGCTCCAGGCTCTGAGCTGCCAGCACAGAACCTAATGCGGGGCTTGAACCCACAAACCGCTCAACCAGCTGAGCCACCCAGGCGCCCCGGCTTACCCTGATTTCTAATGGGCCAATAATCCTGAACAGTATTTGGCAGAAGGAAAGGATAGCTATAAAGGTGGCCTGTTGTACAGATCACATCCACAGAGCTGTCTGAACATGAGTGGTCATTTGAAAGTTTAAAAATAATCATTCAAGAAAGTCATTAGTGCAGGTATGTATGGCTCATGACCTCCCCTGGCCCTCTTCCACAAACACTGGGAATTAGAGGTTTGGGGGGCAAGACTGCCCATTTCATAGATTTTCCCAAATAGTCCATGGCATTAATCTGTATTTTGATGCTCAGTGGTTGCGTTTGGTGTTTATTAAAAGCAGTGGCAGACATGTTACTACATTGTCCGTAAAATGTCAAGTATGTGTCCCAGTCACTGAGGTGATAAAAATGTGTGTATCAAAGCTTTGAAGATTATAAGAATGATAATTTGGAAGTTAATTGTGGAAATTGTTCACCTTTTATTGATAAACTTTCTTTTGCAGAACTAATCAATTTCAAACGAAAGAGAGTGGCAGCATTTAGAAAGAATCTTATCGAAATGTCTGAACTGGAAATAAAGCATGCCAGGGTAAGTGTTTTCCTTTAGATTAAGCCAGAAGCTTTTTAGTATTCAAGTTCTTTCCCAGTTCACTATCTCAATGTCATCAGGCAGATGGGGTTTGCTCTGTGTGTGTGTGTTTTAAAATCTTATTTTAAGAGACTGCGCATGAGCAGGGGAGGGGAGTGGGGCTAGAATGTCTTTAGCTTAATTTTAGTACAGAAAAAATGGAGAACGGTGATCCTCAATGTTAGATACACATTAGTATCTACTTAAGGAGCTGTTAAAGACATTTCAGTGCACAGACCAATTCTCTCAGTTTCTGGGCATGGCTTTTCTGGTGGTTTGTGGGTACAGTTGCGTTTGAGCACCAGAAATACTAGAAGACCCAAAGCCACAGGGTCAGCACTGGAGGAGGGGGAGCAGTCACTGGACAGTCCGCATTGGTTAAGCAGGAAGACCTTGAACATATGTATTTTGAATTTCTTAGACTATAACATTTACTTAAGTCGAAGTCCTGTCCTATATGAACTTTTAAATTGGGGTTTTAGAGTGTCACGTATACATAAATCATAACTAACCTTCTGAGTCTGGATGCTCTGAGTTTTCTTAGTTCCTTTATTTTTTTAAAGTTTGTTTATTTGAAAGAGAGAATGCAAGGGAGTGGGGGAGAATCCCAAGCAGGCTCCATGCTATCAGTGCAGAATCTGATGCAGGGCCTATCACCTATCTCCTGAACTGTGAGATCATTATCTGAGCCACAGTTGAGAGCTGGATGCTCAACCACTGAGCCACAGTGGCACCCCTCAGTTCCTCTAAAATGAGAACTTTCTAAAGCAATTTGTGCTGAGTTCTATATGAATAATTATCATTTTATAATCTCACTCATAAAAAACTTATAGCAACTTTGTGGGGGGGGGCTGGGTGGCAACTACCTCTTCAGTGGTGAGCCTCTCCAGGCTGCTCCCAGACTCTCAGAGGGAGGAACTGGACAGTATGAAATTGGGGTGCAGGTTGTAATTTAATAAAGAAAAGGACCAACCCAGTTTGGCTGGCTTCAGATCTCTTGTGAAAAGTTTAAATTGGTGGGTTTGAGTTTAATTCTTAGAGATCCGTAAGAGGTCTGGAATATAAAGTGATTCATTGGTCTACCTTGACTTCTTTCTTCCAGAACAACGTCTCCCTCCTGCAGAGCTGCATTGACTTGTTTAAGAACAACTGATCTGCTTTTTCTCTGAATGAAGGACACGAATGTGAAAGAAAGCCAGCGTCACTTGCACTTAAATCATTACCACAGAAGATTTATTACCTTTGACTTTAGTTTAAAATTATGTGAATAAATATTTTGATTTCTAAAAATCTTAACACTTAACCATGTTGGTTTAAAATATTTCTATTGCATGCTACTTGTACATAACTAATCTTTTCCTTATGCATTTAATACCTCAAAGTGGGCAGAATCTCAATGCTGGGTTCTCCTATAATTTGTCTTTACTTCTTAAAGAGTGCAGGAAATATGTATGTGCCTTCTGGAAACAAGTGTAAGCAGTTGCCTGACACATGTTAATCTGTTTCATGTGCCCATGTCCCTACAAGCAATTTAGAGTAGGTGCCACTTACAGCAAGTAGGTCAGCTGCTTGTTAACAGGTAACAGACATTCCATTCATTAAGGTGATTTTTTTTTTTTTTGTCTTTATATACCCTTTGCAGCTCCAATTTTTGGTAGTTGGGATATGAATATTTGAGGGGAGAGAAGTATCTTAAGGGTATAAATAACAAATAATCTGGCCTATTTTAGAAGATGGCCAGTCTACATGAAGAAAGATGTGAACCCCTTCCCTGACCATAGGGTGTGTGTGTGTGTGTGTGTGTGTGTGTTTGGACTTTTTATAAAATGTATAATAAAATAATAAATCATGTTATTACATGGAGTGTTTTTGTGGAAAACCGGGCCCAAGTTGCCCCAAGACTGCAGTTGGTGCTCCCTCCTGATGATGGTGAGGGCTTCCGAGTCTCTGCCCACAGTCTTCCTGGCCTCCATTCCAACCTTTATGTCTTTTGAAACTATTAATGGCCAGTTTTTTGAAAGGTCCTCAGATCTGGGTTTGTCTTCTCATGGTTTGATTTGGGTTTGCATTTTTTGACAGGCTCAGAAAAGACGCATCTGTCCTGTTGTTGGTGATGACTGAGCACTTAAGGTAGTGCCTGCCAGGTTCCCCTGTGAAGTTTTCACATCTTCACCTTTGTAGTTAATTATTGGGAAGAGACTCTGAGACTGTAAAAGATGTTTACGCACTGTGTTTATTCTCTATTCTTTAGTTAATGGTTGTAGAACACTGATATTTGAACACCCCTGGGAGCATTTTTCTTCAATTGGCATCTGAAGTGTCACCCCCGCACCTGCCACTTACTAGAATTAGCCAGGTACCTAAGTTTTTACTAAACGGGCCAGACAGTAACTTCTCCAGGTCATTTATTTGGGAAGCATGGTGCACAAAATGAGTAAATTTAAAATCGGGAGTCCAATAGAGGTTCTTGACCATATTTGTCTCCCACTTACCTGTCACTCCCATACTGTTCAGAGTAGCACACTGTGTGGTTTGGGTGGGTAGCTCCCTGGCCCTGGGTCACAGTGGGTCTAAACAGCCTACCATGCTTCAAGGCTTGATGGGTGGGGGGAGGAGGAGTGTGTTGCACTTTGGGCTAGGTCAGTGGGTGATAAATAAGCAGCCAGGATGCTGGGATTTGAGTCCTGGCCCCTCATGCTGAGTGCAGCAATTCTTTTTTTTTTTTTTTTTTTAATGTTTTATTTATTTCTAGGAGAGAGAGAGAGACAGCGTGAGCAGGGGAGGGTCAGAGAGAGAGGGAGTCACAGACTCTGAAACAGGCTCCAGGCTCTGAGCTGGCAGTCAGCACAGAGCCCGACGCGGGGCTCGAACCCACGAACCGTGAGACCATGACCTAAGCGAAAGTCGGACGCTTAACCGACTAAGCCACCCAGGCGCCCCTGAGTGCAGCAATTCTTTAGGTGCCCCTCGTATGTTTACTGGTGATTGCAGGTTCTGGGCTCAATTCCAGGTGCACATCTGTGCCATCTTGGTTTCAAGGGAAGTCCCCATTGGGACTGATGCATGTTCATGAAAAAATGTGGTTGTGAGTAGATGAGGTGTTTCTAGTCCTTTCCCTCTACAATCTGTTAGAGCAATCACTGCTCTCGTGTGCGGTCTCGTGCTCAGTGTTCCTGAAGAACCAGGTGGACTGCCAGGAGAGGTAGCCCATCCTGGAAGATGGAGGCAAGGCAGCAGCAGATACGGGTGTGTCCCACCTGTTACAGACCTGTGCTGATTGGGGTGCAGATCAAAGGGAAGGCAGCTTCCATGTGGGAGGAAAGTCAAGTGGGGAACTAGCTGCAGAGGGACCTTCCAAGAGTAAAGGTGGGCTTAGAACATTTCGAAATGTTTTAAAGTCAGTGGGTGAACTTGGGTCACTTCAGAATGATCTGTGGGGATGTTGTAAAGCCTTAGGGGGTGACAGCCAGCGATCCTAGGGATGTTGCATTGTAGCATACACAGCCACAGTTCAGTGGTGTGTCCTACAGGAAGATGTGCAGAAATCAGGGGAAGTTCAGGAAGATACAGATGGAGGTAGCCCACCCCAGCTATGTAAAGCTTTGGTCACTTCCCTCCCCACATGGTCACCTGTCCCAACCCTGCTTTTCTGGCTGTCCCCATTTGCCTTCCCCATCTTCTGGGCTTGCGAGGCCCATTTGAGATCATGCCAAGACCTGGCCCTGAGAGGGGTGGATTATCCCTGAGAAGCTCTTTCCCACCCATCTGAAGTGAGCCCCTTGCACCATCAGTCTTCTGCCTGTAGGCGGCAGAGGCTCCTAGGGCAGCCACACGCCCTCTTGTGGGGCCTCTTCAGGTGCAAGAGGGGGAAAGTCTGGTGGTGCTGCTGCAGAGTGGCTCAAAGGACCATCTTGTAGCAGGAAGAGTAAAGTCCTGGGGTTGAAGATTTCAAGTTCCTCCGGATGAGGTGTTCCCAGGCCAGCCATCCTCTCCAGGATTCATGTGGGCCTCTGATCCCTGGTGACCCAAGACATAACCTCTGTGGCTGCGGCTGCTCCTCCTGTTCTGGGAACTTGCCTTCTGGGACTTGTGTCAAACAGCCCTGAGGTAATGGGCTCAGAGCTGGCCAAGTGACATGTGTGGAAGGACGCCAGGGAGGCCCCTTTCCCACCCCATCCCCTCAACACGTGGCTCCCCTTGCCTGGGCAGGCAGAGCAGACTGCTTACTGCAGGTTTGCTTTGCCGTTTGAACGCATTTACTTTTTGTTTGAAATCCTTATTTCTCACTATAAGAGCAATTCATACTTAGAATACAAACAATACAAACCTGTATTAACTAGAAAGTAAAGGTCCTCTATTTCACTGCATCCCATGAAAGTCAGTCATGAGGAGCACCTGGCTGGCTCAGAAGAGCAAGCATCTCTTGATCTCAGGGAGTTTGAGCCCCATGTTGGGTATAGAGATAACTAAACACTAATAAAAACTTAAAATTATTAAATATGTTTCTGATATTTTTTTCTATATGTATAGTGTAGTTTACAGAAAGCAATTTAGGGATGCCAGAGTGGGGCGGGGGGTGTTCTGCTGTTGAGTATCTCTCCCTTTGTTTTTTTGATTTTTTAATTTTTTTAAAAATTTTTTAATGTTTTATTTATTTCTGAGAGAGAGAGAGACAGCGTGAGTAGGGGAGGGTCAGAGAGAGAGGGAAACACAAATTCTGAAACAGGCTCCAGGCTCCGAGCTGGCGGTCAGCACAGAGCCCTACACGGGGCTCGAACCCACGGACTGTGAGATCATGACCTGAGCCGAAGTCGGATGCTCAACTGACTGAGCCACCCAGGCGCCCCTGATTTTTTAAATTTTTTTAAAAAATCTTTATTTTTGAGAGAGAGAGAGAGAGCATGAGCAGAGGAGGGGCAGAGAGAGAGGGAGACACAGAATCCAAAGCAGGCTCCGGGCTCTGAGCTGTCAGCACAAGAACCCGACGCGGGGCTCGAACTCATGAGTCGCAAGATCATGACCTGAGCCGAAGTCGCTTAACCAACTGAGCCACCCAGGTGCCCCAAGTACCTCTCCCTTTGAAATGGTCACCATGGTCCTCCCCTGCCCCCCAAATCTCTGGCATCTTAACTTGTCTTTCCACTGCCCATCCCCCACCCCACTCCGGCCATCAGCAGACTGCACCACCACCAGCTCCCCCACCCACCCACCCCCACTTCCGGCCTGCCTTCCTTCAAAGCCGTTACTTAGACTGTGAGTGACATATGTGGCCATTTCAGGAGGACTTTAATTTTAATTGGGTCTTAACTTTTATGCTTTACAAAATTCCTTTAAAGCTTGTTAAACTGGTGGGACCTGTACTACTCAAAACACTCAGGAAAAGGAGACCCACAGTCCCACCCACAGCCAGTTTTTTCTGATGGTTGCCTTCCAACCCCTGCATTAATTCATCGGGTGCACCCTCAGCCACAGGGGGATTTTTAGCCTCAGTCAGATGGGCGAGGTCTGGGCAGCCCAGGGTGTGGGATTCCCATTGAACTTTGCCGCAGGGATTACGTGGCGGAAGGCTGCTTATGTTTCAGGAACTGTTTGTTACTGGCCTTATTTTTTTTTAGCTGCCACATTGCAAATCTCCCCTGTCACTTTACAGAGTTGTTTGCACATGGAATGGAAGCTGTCCCTTCTTTTCCATGGCCCCTCTACACCTCAAAGCTACAGGAGGAAATTTGCACACCCTTGAAGATGAACCTGAGATGAGGCAAGATTCCAGAGTAGCAAATAGAAACTGCTGCTGGGAGCATTAGGCTAGTACCAATTATTCCTGATTCTGGCCTGATACGCATGGTAATTCTTGGCGTGGTTGGTGGAGGGCTCAACTCCCCATTGCCCTGTCCTGCCAGTAAGGGAGGTTTCTGCCAAGCAGTTTGCTCAGTGTGGAGCCTTGAAGCCAGAGGCAGCCTTTGAGATTCCAGCTGGCTCCAGCTGTGGCTTCCAGGGCCTCTGCTCCTTGGAGCTGCTGATTGTATCACACGAGCCCATAATTCGGTCGTGCTGGGAGGCAGATGGCCGAGCATGTGTTTGGGGGCAGAAAAAGGGGCAGCAGGGGGAGGAAGAATACAGGAAAAGATCCTGGGGCTGGCGGGGGGTGGGGGGGGAGGCGGAGGAGGAGACGGAGCCAGGGAGTGCGAGCTAATAGGCGATGGATAAAGCCCTATTCCTTCCTTCCTTCCGTGAAGCTGATCTTGGCCCGCTCAGCACATGCCCCAGAAGACAGGAAATCCCGTCTGGGCAGTCGCAGTCACGAGGGAAATACTGGAAACGCCCGCTGTGTCCCTACAGGGCTTGCACAGTGTTTTTCTATGGTCTGGTTTGTGTCTGCAGCGCTCTTGACCCTATTTTGCTCTGTCTGTTGAAGCACTTGTCCCACTAGGAGGGGTGGGGGACAGGGGGTTGGCTGCATGAGACCTGCCCCCGAGTTGGGGGCAGGAGATGGAGATGGTGTGGTGTACTCCAAGGATCCTTGCCCTGAAGGCTGGGAGGGGTGTTGGGGGGAGAGTCTGGGACGGTCCTGCAGCGCCTGCCAGCCGAGCCAGGTCTTAGAGGAGTTCCCACTCCTGCCTT